AATAGTGACGGATATGGGGTTTGTTAAGGTAGACAATTGGGGAGGGGTTTCTTTTAGTAAATAGGATAGGGGGTTTCAATAGTGGGGTACAATACAGTTGGTAACCAATTAACACTGAAGTATAAATGTAACAGGTAGCTAACAGTTTCTATGTAAAGGGTATGTCACAGCAGCATATAACCAGCTAACAGTTATGGGTAAAATGTGTTAAATAACCAACAACTCTAGGTAAAATGTGTCACAGTGGTGTAAATGTAAAATGTGAGGGGTGTTAGAGAGAAAAAGGGTAACCAATGGGGTTTTATGCTAGACTTCAGTAATACAATTGAGGTCTGGCAGCAGTAGGAGCAGGGTGAGCACGTGGGGGAAGGGATTAAGAGCGAGAGAGAGAGCAGGCAGGCTGCAAGTTTAAACAGCAGACAATTATACACAACATAGCAAAATCTTATCTATGATTTAACTTAACCAAGACTACACAAATTAGCAAGTAACAAAACACAATGCAACAATTCTTTAAGCCTAACTTACAGAGTACAATGCAAGCAATTTTCTAAACCTAACTTAACCACAACTATGCAAAATGAAATCAATATTTATCTAAAGGTTAAATTTAACCTAATGGGTGCACCTTATACTAGGGGTAGTTCCAGAGGACAGAGTGGTGTGTGCTCAGGATACAGCTTCAAGGGGGGGGAGGGTGTTTAACTAGTGGTGGCTGCAAGCATGCTTATTTCTAGCAGCAAAGGCACTGCGGAGCTAGAAGCAGATTACAGATACAGACCAAGGAGTTAGCTTGGGTCTGCCTGCTGGGGAAAGAAAGCCAGCAGCTAGAACAAGCGGAGTGTGCAAGAGGTTCTTCCTTACCAATCCCCAAAGCAGCAGCAGGAACAGCAGTTTCAGCATCAGAGGACGCAGAGAGGACTTGATTCGTTACAATAATCAGGAGATCTCCAGGCACAAATTTGTTGTTCGTGGGAGGGGAGTTTAAAAACGGGAGTATGCTCAAAAACAAACGAGAGCGGGGAGAGGGCCCCCCAAAGAACCCTAGCTGATCAGACCAGGTGGCAAAGCAAGGACCTTCTCTGGGGGTCTGATCAGAAAATGTCTGGTTTTAAGGGCAAATTCAGGCAGTTTCCCGCCAGTAACTTTGATTGGTTCCCCTTAATCCAGGGGAGGAGAGAAGGCAGGGAAACTGCAGGTAGGCACAGGACATGTCTGGGCAAGTTCTGAGTCACAGGTATGACTCATATGCTCACCTATGTGGCCACTTTAGGTCTTGCATACCTGGGCAGAGAACCCTACACCGAGCCGGGTCTGAACAAAGAAGCTAGACAAAGGAGCTAAAAAGCTCCCACCTCCCTGAGCAGAGCAATGGCTCCAGTCAGTCTGCACAAGCCATTTCCATGAGCAGGGCCAGGCTGTGACTTTGGGGAGCGGCCACTCAGCACAAACAGAAAGGAAGGGGAAAAAAGGAATCCAGCAGGGAGACAGCTGTAACAGACATCAATGTTATACATCTTCCATACCCCCAGCTACACCTTTCCAAGCATATTTTACCACTCCCACACAGGATACCTCACAGTTTGGGAAACACTTTATGGGACCTGCACTAGGAGATTGCAGAATACAGCATTGAGTGTGGAAGTTGGAATAGTTAGTTGCTATTTGTATCTGGAGCAGAAGTGACAATGTATCTAAAACAGTTTGTAAAGTGGTTTATGGGGCTGGAGGTTAACAAATGATTCATTTATCCCTGCTAATTTTGGATTTGCTGCTCTTCACCAGCAACTGCTATCCTCTGCCTCCAAATGAAAAATGCCCCCATTCAACATATGACCTCCTAGATGTACTACTTCCAAGAATTCAACCAGCAGACCCTCACTCTTGTTCAAATGAGACCCTTCTATGCTGTGGGGCAATAGGAAACATAGTGGCAATGGCATTTATCACTTCAGCAACTGTGAGCATAGCAGTTGCTGTAGCTAGTTTTATATTAACAGCTAATGTGCTTTCTGAAATAAAGCACAAGGACTACATTTTTAAAAGGGAAGGTCTCATCATGCATGAAAAGATATGTGGACTGTAATTTAGAATGTGTACCCTTTCAGGCAGAGAATATTTTTTCTGTGTGTGTAAAGCACCATGTTAACCTGCACTGCTATTAACTGATTGATGATAAAGCACAAGCATTTACCATAACTGTATGCAGAGTGGGTGATCAGAACATGACACCTAATTAGCCACTTGTACAGCCTGTCCTATTTATATATGTAATCAAAGTAATAGCACATTCTCTTGTACACAAACTTTGTGCCTCCATTTTAAAAAATGTGATCCAAGTGCCTCTATCTCAAGTGCACCTTCTGTCAATAGGTACAGTATGGTCTGATTTTCGTAGGTACTGAGCACCTGCAACTCCTATTGACGTCGCTCAGCATCTCTGTAAATCAGGCCAAATAGCTTCTAACATGGTAGCTACATTTGCAAGTGCAGACAAAATATTCCAAATACATTTCTGTTCACAAAAATGCCTCACTTTTGGAAAATGCCTTCCCTTTTTCAAAAGTATAGCCTTGAGTGAGAGAGTAGCTGCAACTTAACTAACTGAAGCAATTACACAGATAGAAGTGAGGGGAAATTGGTGTATATTTGAATCTATACCAAAGGAAGCTTTTAACTATATTTTCAATATCTGTATTTTTTTAAGTGCCCATATGTTAGGCAGAGAAACAGCAGAGGCTCCTATAAATCTGATCTTAAGTTGTCCATGCCTGCCATCAACAATCCTACTAAACTGGATAGGTCTGGTATTTTTCACCTGCCCTTTTTCATTTCATTTTATTTTATTACATTTTATTTCACTCATTTCCCCCTTCCCCCCAACTCTTTCCATGACAGTGCTTTATTTGTAGTCTCCTCAAGCTGGCAGATAGAATATCTGTGCCACTCTGCCATCTAAATTCTGAAGTCCTTGTGTCCACCTGTCATGTGTACACCCTGAACAAAGTACACCACACTGCAGACTCAATAGCTAAACTCCTTATAGTGGATGTGTCAGGCTTATCAATTGCAAAAGTGGTTAATTTTTATACAACTACTTCTACTATTTTCTCAAAAAAAGAATACACAAACATTTTCACCTTATAATTACTAACTCTGTAACATTCAACATATTATAAAAATGCTGGAAATCATTCAGAAATATAGCAACACGCTTAAAGGTGACTTGCTAAAGAAAAAATGTGTTTGGGCCTTATGGAGGGAAGCTTATACAGAAAGTAGAAGGTGTATGTGTGTGGTGTGTGTGTGTGTGTGGGGGGGAGGGGTTCCTCTCCATGTTTCTACTTTATAAATATCAGAAATTCAAATCTGGGATTTCCTTGTTTTCCTGGAAAACCCCTTAAAGCTTTCAAATGTGTACTGTGAGCTTTCACAACTTTTTATTTTATTGAATTTTTACCAAAGATTTATATTCTCTCATGTTTCTCAGGCTTTTGCGTTAAACAGGCATTAAGAAAACCAAATTTTAAAAAGTTTTAGGCAGTCTGATTAAGTTTCTCATTCCCTTCAATTGCTTGTTTTTCAGTCTCTTGTGATTTCATAATCCCACTAGTCTTCCCGTCATTCATGGAGTTGTTTCCTGCGTAATCAAGACCTGAATTTCTAAAGTAAATAATCAGATGGAAAAGAAAAAGCAAGCAAGTAAACAAAGACCAGTAAATCTTTCAGACTGACAAAGACCAAAGACCAGTAAACCTTTAAGACTGACATTTAAAAAAAAATGACTCAGGGACACAAACCTTTCTTCTATGTCACCTGTATAGAAGCTATAAATCACTGCACATTCCCAGAGGCAAAAAGTTCTACAGGACTATGCTGGTGGAAAGTCAACAGAATTATGCTTTTCAGATGTTATTAGTTTCATAATATGATAGTAGGTTTGAATGTAGTCAAATAACAATAATGGGACTATATGAAGGATGGTGTATCATGAGTGTGTGAATTGACAAAATATTTACTTTAAAGAGCTGTTTAAAATGTATTCTCTTCATACATTGAATATATATATCTTAAATTTTAGAAATGTTTATGAAAATCTGCCATGTTCTATAAACATTCCTGTGCAAATGTCACCTGAAGGCTCCTAAACATTTCAGTCACTACTGGGGCAGCAGAACAAGCAGTTTCAAGTGACATTATGAAATACAAACATCTGGATTTTATTGCAGACATGTTCTATAACTTTTACAGTCCCAGCTGCTAAAACATTTTTTCTGACTCAAAACATGTTCATAATCATTCACTTTGTTCACTTGCAAAACTCAAACCATTTCCATTCATATTAAATGGCTCAGTGAACCACACATAGCAGCCTCCCTCATTATAAGAGGAGTGACAACCTTATAATGAATCCCAGAACTGAGAACATGCCCTTGTGAAAAAGGTCCTTCACTGAACAGAACTATTCTTTCAAAGCAAAAATCAAACACAGAGAATAATGCACTTAGATTAAATTAACAACATAGAAACTACGTGCCCTCTGGGCAGTCCCATGCGCACTTACATAAAAGCAAAGGCACGCACTGAGTTTGTCCTACTTGTACCCCTTGCTTAGATCATTTTAACAATACACAAGCACCATGCAAGACACTTGCCCCCCACACAGATTAAATTGATGGCAGACAAGCAGCACACACAGAGTACATCACGCACACTGCGCTGGGATTCATGGCACGCGGGGACGTGCCCTACGCCGGGACACAGCGGTGGCACCGCAGCTGCATGCACCGTGTGCCTCCCCCGCCGCGCTGCGTTCAGGACACGCACAGGCGGGGATGCGCCCCGTGCTGAGAGCCACGTGCGAAGCCTCCTGCCCGCCCCGGCGCTGGGATGGATTCCGGGGAGCGGACCCCGCACAGCCGCGGGGCCTGGAGCCGGGGTGGGGCACCCAAGCCGGAGGAGGACAAAAACCACAGGGTCGCGCTAGGGGAACCAGCCCCGGGACCCCACCCTGCAGGCAGCCCAGCAGCCCCGCCCCCTAACACCCGCTCCCTCGCCGCGCGCCTTGGCCTTCCGCGCGGCGCGCGTCACTTCCGGGTGCGGGCGCGAGCGAGGAGAAGATGGCGGCGCTGGGGGAGCCTGTGCGGCTGGAGAGAGGTGAGCGCGCGGGAGGTGACGCCGCTCCCACTGGCCGGGAGCTGCGTGCGGGCCTCTGCCCGGCTCCCCGCGCGGGGTGCCGGTCCGCTGGCTCCTGACGGGGAGCGGAGCCGGGCAGCGCCGTTGGGCTGGTGAGGTTCGAGGGGGCGGAGCCCTGGGTGGGCCCCTCTCCCCACCGGCTCCCGGGCTGCGGCAGTTCAGTGACACTTCCCCCGGGAGTGCCAGAGCAACGTCCGCCGCCGCTTCTGCGCTGGCCGGGCGGGGCGAGCCCCGAGGTGCCAGCCCCGAGGTGCCCGGCGGCCCCAGGGTTTGGGCGCATTGGGGTCTCCCTGTGAGTGGACAGCGGGACCCGTGTTCTCCTGGTTCTCGCTTCAGTGGCCCCTTCACTCTCCGGAGCCGACTCCTCCCGGGGCCTTTGAATTTTCCTTGTACCTCTTCGAGGCGAGAAGTACTGGCTGGGGCAGCAGAAACATTTTAAACGGTTCTTGGAATGTTTAGTCTCTTCCCCCCTCCACTCCCCACCCCCAAAAACAAAACAAAAGCAAAACACGTCTCTGGGTTCCTCTAAGCATCCCCAAGGCACGAAGTTAATTCCTTCTCATTACGCTCACGCTGATGATAACGCATCAGGCATAAACCTCTTTGGAATTATTAGACCCAGATTTTCCTTTTGTCCTTCATAACTTAAGTAAATGTCTGCAAGTCTCAGTCTGGGAGTTTGGTTTTCAGTGGGAAATTTTTTAAATTTTTTTCCCCTTTACAATTTTGTTAGAATTTCCCCATCAGCTCCATACTGGACTTGTGTCTTGCTGGATAGTGGTTTGCACACATCTTGTGAGGGATAGCGATAGTAGGAATTTTTCTACATAGAAAACTTCTCAACTTTGAGTTAAATTTGCTAGATTGTCAGAATGGGTGAAAGAGGCAATAAACAAGGAAATAGGCATTTACATAGTTTATTAAATTATCTATGCACTTTTAAACTTTTAAGTAATTCTCTCCTACCCTCTCCCATCCCCAGTTCATATTATTTCTACTCATCCTGACTAACCAGGCTAGGATTCAACCTGAGCACTGCAGCACCTGATTTATAGGCACCCTGCTGTTAAGTGGAATTAGGTGCCTAGGCCTATACGGTACATGGGGAGAGTTAAATACCTAAGGCTATGTCTACACTACCACTTATGTCAGTATAATTTATGTTGCTCGGGTGTGAAAAAAACACATCCCTGAGCAACATAAGTTACACTGCTAGAAGCGCCAGTGTGGACAGTGCTATGTTAGGGAGAGAGCTTCCCCCCCTCAATGTTTCTCTACGCAAAAGAATTAATGGACACAAATCTGACATCAGGAATCAAAATACTCAAAAACCAGTGGGAGAACACTTGAACCTGTCTGGTCATTCAGTGACAGACCTGCGGGTGGCTATATTACAACAGAAAAACTTCAAAAACAGACTCCAAGGAGAGACTGCTGAGCTAGAATTGATATGCAAACTAGACACAATCAACTCCGGTTTGAATAAGGACTGGGAATGGCTGAGCCATTACAAACATTGAATCTATCTCACCTTGTAAGTATTCTCACACTTCTTATCAAACTGTCTGTACTGGGCTAGCTTGATTATCACTTCAAAAGTTTTTTTTCTCTTAATTGGCCTCTCAGAGTTGGTAAGACAACTCCCACCTGTTTATGCTCTCTGTATGTGTGTATATATATCTCCTCAATATATGTTCCATTCTATATGCATCCGAAGAAGTGGGCTGTAGCCCACGAAAGCTTATGCTCTAATAAATTTGTTAGTCTCTAAGGTGCCACAAGTACTCCTGTTCTTCTTTTTGCGGATACAGACTAACACGGCTGCTACTCTGAAACACACCTTTGCAGTCTCTCTCTCCTCCCCCACCCCCCTTGCTAATTAGAGTAGCTGCTTTGGCAATGGGATTAGTTGCTCTTGGTAAAACCTGGGGCAGCATCCTCCTCCACCTCATTACCCTGTCATTGTGCTTTATCCATGAAAACAAATCTGTGCAGAGTTACCTAGTAGGAATCAGTGGAACAAAAGAACTATTTTGTTTTCTTGCATGTTGGTCTTGCCTCTTACGAAAAGAGGGGAAAAAAGAGTACAATATAATAGTGTGTACCTATATGACATATACTGAAGGGCAGCACTATTTGCAGAAATAACTAACCTCTGTTAATTGTGGTAGTGTTGACTTTGGATAATTAAATGATATCATTATCAGGCTAAGGATAAACTGATCAGAGAGAGTTGGTAAGTAACCTAGGAAATGAGGGAAAATGTTTAAAAAATTTACCACACATTTACTAGCAATGGGACTAAATCTGCTAACCAGAGGCACATATTAGAGAGACAAGGTGGGTGAGGGAATATGTTTTATTGGATCAACTTCTGTTGGTGAGAGAGACAAGCTTTGGGACCTGAAAAAGAGCTGTGAAAGCTCAAAAGCGTGTCTCTCGCAGCAACAGAAGTTGGTCCAAAAAAAGATATTTTCTCACCCACCTTGTCTCTCTAATATCCTGGGACCAACATGGCTACAATACTGCATACAGAGTCAAATGTGGAAGAAATCTCTTCTCTCTTGCTTGAATCACAACCAACACCCTTTTTTAGCAATTTCACTGGAAGCCAAGGATGAGAGACTATCCTCTCACACCTTGAGGTTATCTTTTAGAGTGGAGGCACTAGTAGAATTACGTAGAGAACCTTGCACTGCTACTGTCTTTAATATACCTCTGCTCTAGTTAACTTTGCCTCCAGGGTTTTCAGTCACTCTAGTGCCTCCCACAGTCAACAGAAATTCACTTTTAAAGTGCATGTGATTAATCCGAAAATCTGCTTGCTGCAAATAAAATCCATCCTTTAAATAGTGTGTTGTGGGTTTGGTGTCACGTTGGTTTTGTTACATTATTTTAATTTACTGTTTTTAATGGTGTTATCTCCAAGTGTGTGAGGGTTTTTCCTTGAAGCCCCTCTTGAGTCAATTCAGTATCCAATTTAGTCTCTTGTTGTTTTGAATAATGGGCCAAATTGGGGCATACCTAGTGTGGCAGTGCAAGGGGACACAAAGTGCCCAGTTAACCACATCATAGGTAGCAGTGCAGGAAGGCTCCATAGAACTGTTGTATCTCCCCCACCGCCTCATGCAGGTGGGTGGGAGTGAATGGGGAAGGATCTGAGTGGAGGAGACATAGCTGCACTGGGGAAGGCATGTTGTTCCAGTTATAGACCTAGCTCAGTTTACTCCCTCTTCAGAGCACCAGGAGAACCTGGAAAAGAGATTGGGACTGAGGCCTTGGCTATACACATGTTGTACTGCATTAACTGTATTAGTATGAAAAAAGATGTGCCAGCACAAAAGTGCTTATATTGGAATATCCGCATCCACCCTCTGGATACCAGTTACACCTGTATAACTATTTTTGTTTAAAAAAAAATCACACTCCCTAACTTGCCAAAAGGGCCAATGCAATCTTTGCATGCATAAACATGGAATCTCAAGTAGGAATAGAGAGGTTGTTTTACTCCCTATTTGGCACTGCTGTGACCCATGCTGGAATATTGTGTCCAGTTCTGATGTCCACAAGTCTAGAATGATGATGTTAAACTGGAGAGGATTCAGAGAAGAGCCACAAGAATGATTAAAGGATTAGAAAACATGCCTTGTCGTGATGGTTCAAGGAGCTCAATCTATGTAGTTTAACAAAAAGAAAGTTAAGGGGTGACTTGATTAATTTATAAGTAGCTTAACTTTAAGTACCTAGCTGGAATGTGATGATAGAGGACTCTTCAGTCTAGCTGAGAAAGGTATAATACGATCCAATGTCTAGAAATTGAAGCTAGACAAATTCATACAAGACATAAGGTAGGAATGGTTAAGTGAGGGTAATTAACCATTCAAACAGTTTACCAAGGGTTGTGGATTCTCCATCACTGGCAATTTTCAAATCAAGATAGGCTCTAGGATATGGGTAGTCAATAGGAAGACTGCGGCCCAAATCTGGACTACCAGATGCTTTTGAATGGACCCCGAAATCTTTTTATTTACTCATTATCATTATTGTTGTTTTTTATTATTTTTCTCTGGAGTTTGGAACTTGACTATACCTTGACCAAGAAATTTGAACCTTGACAAAAAATAATCAACTTACTCCTGCTCTGGGAATTATTTTGGGGTAGTTCTATGGCCTGTGTTACACAGGAGATGAGACTAGATGATCACAATGGTCCCTTCTGGCCTTAGAATCTGAGTCCATGAAATCATTATAATGGTACAAAATTTATGCATCAACCAGGCTTGAGCTGCTTCTGGGGCAATACAGTTATGTACTGCCCCTTACTCTGTACTTGTGTAAAAGATACAGTGGATCTCAAAATTAGTGTCTGAAGGTTCTGAGCATTCTACAGACATAAATTAAATCCTGCTCCACATTATATAACACAGTGTGTGGCATCTCCACTCTTTTGGGGAACTTACAACCAAAATAACATCACATCAGTGCCCTGTACCCTCTGTTGATTCCCTCTTTGCATCCTTAGTTTAATCTTTGAAATGCTCTTTGGGCTGGGGCCAGGGCCCTTCAGAGATTGCCTTTTTGTGACTGACCAACACAGTTGCATTCAGAGAGATATGGAAATTGAGTTCCTAGGATGAAATTTCTGGGAGCTGGAGGCAAGGCATTCTCAGTTCCAGGTTCTAGACTGTGGAATACCTTACCAGAGAAGATCCAAACTGTCTAGTCTGTCTTCTGAGCTTTTTGCCCCCCCCCCCCAAGCCCTTTCATCAGGTTCCTTTCTTGAATAGTAGAAACTGAAGAATGAAGGGGAGGTGGTCAAACCCTAGCATGATATCTGTTTGGCAAAAATTTTTTGTTTCAAAATAGAATATTTGGCATCCAGAAACTAGTAATCAGAAGATTATAAATGCTTTAGATGGGATGGACAGTTGGGTCTAGTTCAGCATGAAGTGCAATCAATG